GTTCTATGAAGGATAATTATAATATATTGTAACTTCAGGCTCAGAAGGGCTAGATCCCAGAGCCGTAAAGCCAGTTATTAAAAAAGAAAAAGGTTAGTATACTTTTAAAATTAGAACATAAGCATAACAAATAAAAAATAACATAACATCTGTTATGTTGCATAATTTACTACTTGCATGCCGTAACCATTTGCCTATTGCCAACACAATATTGACAGTCATGGCCGTGTGTAGGTTGAGTAACATCATGGTGTTTGCAATAATTTCGACAGTTTTACATTAAGGGCCGTCGCTCATTATGCTAAGACCTAATAAACTGGTCTTTTAAATTATTTATGACATAGTTACCTTAAATATAAGGTCCTTACATATGAAATTAGCGTTTTGTCGTACTGACCACTTTGATCTGAAATATCTCCTCTTTGGTTAAGAATTCCAAATTCAAATTTATAAATTCATTTAGCTGGTACATTTGAGTTTCGAAAACAGTCATTCATTTGTTTTCCCTCATTATTTTTTTCTTTGGCGTCGCTTATTACCGCACAATGGAAAACATGAAATATATTTAAGAGTACGAGTTCTACCGTGGCACCAGTGCTGCAGAACCAGCTCGAAGGATTAATGATGTGTACGGCGCCGGTGTCGCAAAAGAAAGCACGGTACGTTTTTGGTTTCAACGTTTTCGTTCTGGAAATTTCGACCTTTAGAACCAAACCCGTGGACGGCCAGATACCAACGTGGAAAATGAACAATTAAAGGCTATTGTGGAAGCGGATCCATCACAAAGCACTTCAGAGATAACTGAAGGCTTCAGCGTAAGTGATAAAACTGTACTAATCCACTTGAAGCAAACCGGGAAAGTAAAAAAACTTGAACGATGGGTACCTCATGAATTGAGTGAATCGCACTTGCAAACACGCGTCGACTACTGTGTTACTTTGCTCAACCGACACAATAATGAAGGGATTTTAAATCGAATCATAACTTGTGATGAAAAGTGGATACTGTACGATAATCGGAAGCGCTCGTCGCACTGGCTGAACCCTGGAGAGTGGAAACCCAGCCGAATCCTGGCCTAAACGAAAATTGACTCAGAGCTCCAGTAGAATCCGTAATTTTTCTGTCTATTGCTATTAGTTAATTTATAATTAATTTTGAGATAGAGTGATCCTATTTGAGTAATAGCGCCATCATTAATAGAACGTAGTAACATTCTATAGTTAAAGTCATTTTATCGAACAAAAATTGATTGACTCTCAAGGTGGAACGTAGAAAAGACTCTAGATGGCATAAACACAAAAATATTATTAACATGGTTGTCTAATCCATTCATAAGAATCCATAATTTCAAAACTCACCCATCAATACTTTTTTTGGTTTTATGCCATTAGGCAACTATTCTACGTACCATCTTGAGAGTCAATCAATTTTTGATCGATAAAATGACTTTTACTATAGAATGTTACTACATTCTATTGACGATGGCGCTATTACTCAAATATGATCACTCTATCTCAAAATAAATTATAAATTAACTACATAATAGCAAAAGACAGAAAAATTACGGATTCAACTGGAGCATTTAAGGAGCAATTAATTGACATACAGTTTAATTTTATAGTTTTTTTAAAAATTAATTATAAATTAACTAATAGCAATAGAGGTGGAGCAATTTCGGATTCTGCTGGAGCATTTAAGGAGCAATTAATTGACTTACAGTTTAATTTTAAAAAATAGATATTTTATAGCTAAATTAAATTTTCGATACTTAAATTTTTTAAAAATTAATTATAAATTAACTAATAACAATAGAGGTGGAGTAATTTCAGATTCTGCTGGAATATTTAAGGAGCAATTAATTGGCATACAGTTTAATTTTAAAAAGTAGATATTTTATATTTTATAGCAAAATTAAATTTTCGATACTTAAATTTTTTTTTAAATTAATTTTAAATTAATTAATAACAATAGAGGTGGAGCAATTTCAGATTCTGCTGGAGCATTTAAGGAGCAATTAATTGACATACAGTTTAATTTTAACAAGTAGATATTTTATATTTTATAGCTAAATTAAATTTTCCATACTTAAATTTTTTTTAAATTAATTTTATATTAGCTAATAACAATAGAGGTGGAGCAATTTCGGATTCTGCTGGAGCATTTATGGAGCAATTTATTGGCATACAGTTTCTAACTTCCATCTGGTGTTGTAGGCTTACTGTTTACTTTGTGTATGTATTACTGACTTACTGTTTTCTTTGTGTATGTATTATGTAAAGTAGATTAAAAAACAAAAATAATTAAATTAAGAGCCTGAAATATCCGTGACACAAAAGTAGAAATGGAAATAAACATTTTTACTTGCGAAAATTAATATTCAAGTTAATTTTAATAGAAGGATTTATTGTATTAGTGAAATTAAATAGAAGAATAAGATACCAGCACCACGCAAAGCCATTTTGAACATTTTTGCTTACATAAAACTTGCTTAATACTTTCAACTTTTTACGTTACACATTATTATTTACATTATTGATTTTGGAGCACCACCACTTTACGACTGTATCCATATTAAGCCAGTCATTAGTTCTACTCAAAGTAGTGTAATTAAGTCGAACATAGATAACAATAATAGATATACTTATTATTTTATGAATACTGAGTCATTCACAACAATGTCATTCATGTAGAAGGAAAACGAGTAACAAATTGCAGTTTATATCGTGTGAACTGTGTTCTAATGTAAGTATTAGGTATGTATACATTATATACCAAATATCTTATATCAATAGTAATAAAATTACCTTTACTGGCTTGTTACATTTTTATTTTTATTTTAACCTTAAATCTTAGGATAAATCATAAATCCAATGCATTCATATTATCTTGTCTGTAACTGTTATGCATAAACCTGACTTCGACCCGTAATTATTTGTGCGGTCATACGATTAGATATAGGTAGGTACATATCTAGTTTTAAAATAAACAATATTGATGACCAATGTGTGATTTATTAAAAAATTTACATATTAGAATCAAGTGATAAATCTATTAAAAAGAGTAACTATTTAAAAAGAGTATGGTTCGTACGTTCTAAATGAGATCAAAATTGCATTTTAGTCAAAATTGGAGCAATAGAAAGTTCGCCAATCACTTGGATTGATCAGTAAAGGTGATTATAAAAAGCGACTGGGTACATCGGACAAGGTTCCTCCTAGATAAGTTCGGCCAAAGAAAACCAAAACTCGTGAGGATATGTTTATGATTCGTTTGACTGATGGATGGACGGATGCTTTTAAGGGCTCGAATTTACTTCGGAGGTAAGTTTTTTCTTAAGACAATCCAAGGAACACATCTGTAAGAATAGTCCGTAAGACTGTAACCAGGTCACATAGAAAACATTGTTTAGCATTTGCTAGAAAGCATAGTAGCTGGAGAGTCCACTAATAGATAAATATTTTATTTTCTGACCACTTCATTCTGGCGAACTATATGTGCGGCACTCATTCAACGAGTCATCAAATATCAAGTATATCTACTATCACCAACTGTCTGCTGGCTTTAGTTACCGTCAAAATCTCCTAAAAACTACGCATTGTGACTATAAAGGATTATTATCACTTAATACTGAAAACCTATAAAAAAAGAAGATCCCGAATAAAATTAAGACATGGCTTAGAGAACAAGCATCTAAGCCAAAATCTTAATAAAAAGAATTGATATTAGAAAAAAAGTAACGAACCCAAATAGTGATGCAAAATAGAGGGTATTTTTTACTTAGAATATATTAGATACGATTCTTACCGAATATATATAAATAACGATCTACTGAAGTAAGGGGCTACTAAAAGAAGAAAACTTTATCGTTTGAAAGATACCCATAGATGTGCAGAAAAAATATCATGATAAGGCAGGTAAAATAAAGTGAGCATGTAGGTATATAATGTTCCCATACAAAATACAATAATCAATCGAAAGGTTAAATTTCGATACAAGTTCATATAAAAATAATTAGGTAAGTATATAGTTGATTGGATTGCAGCATTGCAACGAAAAGGCCTATTATTTCTGTTGGCGCCACTAACGAGACTCGTTCGTTATCCCCACATTTATTATTCATTAATTTAATTTTAAGAAATCGGAAACTAGGTAGGTACTGATACTCTAGAGATAACTCGAGTAAAAAGATGTTAAAACAAGATGCTCTTGGGATCCTTGTTAATAGATATTATAGAATATATTTGTAAGAACATATACTACCCCATATCGTACCGTGGGTGTTGTAAGAGGCGACAAAGGGAAACTGAAACAGAATATAAGCAGCAGCATCTTCTTGATAACTCAAAACAAAAGCACAGAGGTTGCCAACCCGCCTGCCAAGCGCGGCAACTATGGCAATATCCCCCTATGTGCAATCTATGAGGAAGTTCAGCAGTTTATTTGTATAGGCTATAATAGACGGATAACTATACGTATACATGAACACAAACACAAGCCTTCGGCTGGGACCTAAATTCAGGAAGACTAAAATAATTATTGTAACGCAGACTTCAAGTAGGTATCTATAATAGCTCCCGTTTGTCGGCAATTATTTTTAGTTTAATATACACGTAAGGGGCGTGATATTTTGTCACAATGTATTAAAGCTAACAGCCACTGCCAGAATATGTAATCACTACCTACCTTAGAACATAGAACAACTTAGAACATACATAAGCAAACTTATGTATGTTCTAAGAAGCTACCACAGCTTATTATACGGTAAGTATATTGTAACCATAAACCATTTGGGCTAAGACTAATATCAAAAGAAGAGGTTCTATATTCGAAGCGACATATTATGTTATGTTCAGATTTTCGGAGACGGCTATTTTAATTATTTTTTTTTAAAGTTATAGCATATAACATAAATACTACTCAACTCATAACTTAAGTTAAAATTTAATGTTTTCATTGTTCAAATACAATCGTCACATATTTCGTTACTTTCCTATACTTACGAATTCCACTATCTTGAGCGCGACCCACTTGTCGCATACCGCCATCGCGGTAGATAAGATGCCCACGGTTGCACAACACAATTTGTACTTCAAGTTTCGGCGTTACCTAAGCTCGTGCGTTAAAATATAAACATGTCGTTAAACGAATGAACACGGCTGCACGTCACAAACGCAGTGTTACGTTTGAAACCAGCCACCATTTTTACGCGCATCGCCATGTGACATTGAACAAAAACTTCACAAGACTCCACAGGTACCATTGTAGCAAGATGCAGTATTAGTCAAGCAAAACAAAGGACAAGAACAAGAAATAAAACACCAAAGCACACATTAAAACATTATACTTAAATTTATTAATTAATACTGGCATGCAATATTATCTTTTTAAAAACTCATAAAACATTGAGAGATAAATTCATATTACCGAGTTACAAAATGTTTAAGATTTTGTTAATCGTAGATAATTTCATAATGCTGCTCTATTCATTACTGAGAAAACAGTTCCAAATTGATTTACGTACTTAAACCTGATTTTTAAATAGACTTATTCATACACAGAAATAGTAAACTACAATAACATGAATATTTCCGTTGAAAAAACTTCAAAAAATGTAGATATCGCCAGTTATGCGGTAATCCTATATGACGGGAGCCTATTCTCTTCCGTGTTTGCCCTTAATTCATATTCTAAAATAAAATAATATTGAAGACACATGCTTAAATATATCGATACCGCTTTATAAAAAGCGTACAATTTAATACATTTTTATTTAAACCATCTATTTAAGATTCTTAATTAAAATATATATTTAGGTTAAAATTAAAAAATTCTAAAATTAAAATTCTATTTTACCTCTCTTATGTTTTACAGAATGCAAAAAGCACATAAATATGGGATTTAACAAGAAAATGTGAAATAATGACATTAATTAATTATTTTTAACATTAATAATGATAAAATTGTTATGTTCCAACACCCATGTTATGTAGCAGTTATTTTTGAACTGTTACCCATGTCAGCAATTAGATAACACAATACAGAAGCATGTATTAAGTCACGCAAAGAAACAGAGGATAGTCTTGCCAAAAATATTTTAGTTAAACTGCTTTTAGGGTTAAAATTAATTGATAGATATGTTTATTTGATTATTGTTCGATTCGTAAGACAGGGTAGCTTGACAAAACTATCCCCATAAGTCTTGAGTTCCACCAAAATCATTCCTTATCATGCAAACAATAAACATGTAATTCTTAATTCATGCAATAAATTAATCAACATTAAAAAAAAACAAAATGATTAATTAAATAGTAATGGCTGGCTAACTGTGCAGGACTAACTTGCAAAACTTTATTTTCAACAAAACTGGTAGAAAATTTTATAGCAAATTTTTCATCAGGCAACTCTGCCTTTGTTATTTCCCTTAAATACTTCACAAGACCGTTGTAAAGGTGAGTTGAAGTGGTAATATTTAATCGTAGAAATATTTCCCACCATTCCAGAAATTTTGAAAGTCCGTGCACAGTCAGGCAAGCAGCGTTCGAGCGACTCACTCATGCTTGTTGTGAGTGATGAACTCGTACAGCGGGTGGCGTGCGGTCCACGGGTTGAAGTCGCGCGGCGGCGAGCATGGGGTGCGCGGGGAGCATGGGGTGCGCGGGGAGTGGAGGGCGTGGTGCGGGCCCCCCGGGCCGGCGAGGCCCAGGCTCGAGGCCGCGGCGCTCAGCCCGCCCGGCGCGCTCGCCGGCGACCACACCGCGCGCTCGCCGCCCTCCCAGCCCAGCCCGCCGTTCAGGTTCAGCGACGACATCGACGTCATCAGCGACTCCACGCCGTTCGACATGCGGTTGGACCACCTGTTACCGATAACGTTATTTACATATTCATTCATTCATTATAGCCTCTCAAAAGACCAATATTATACAAAGCGCAACCATAAAAGGAATGCGCGGTTGAGGCTATGGAAATTTGTGGACCATGCGCAGCCTGCAGGAGGCAGTCAGCGCGTGCCGCGCGGGCGCTACTCACTCGCTGTGCGCGGCGGCGCTGCGCTGCGCCTCGTGGATCATGCGCAAGCGCCGCGCTTGCGACCAGGGCTCCAGCGTGTAGGACGGTGCAGCGGGCGGCGGCGAGCCCGCGCCGTCATCCGGAGCACGCGTCAGCTCCACGCCACGTTCGGGGCTCCAGCGGCCAATCTAGTACAGAATTTACATTTATGTCAATTTTTTGTGGTTGATAAATTATTGCAGCACATTAGGTAAGAATTATGCTAAAATAATTTTTATTATTAATACATTTTTTTATACGCAGTTTTACCTACTAACATTTTTCTTCCTTGTGAGACAGGGGAATGTCATGAACTTCTAAAGTAGTGGGTATACAAATTGGCATCACAGACCAGCAATTGCATTGCAGTGTGAACAGTTTTTGTCTTATCTACCGTGTCTGCCTTTGTCCTGTCTTATTAAAAAGTTTTTGTATTTTTCAATCTAGCTTCACATCTTAAGGGGCTACTCCATGCGAACGACCTTGAGCATTTGACCGCTTGCTACAATATTAATATATTGTAGCGAGCGGCTCGCCGGAAGAAATATGTAAGACGCCACCTATTGTACGAAAGTAGTATTATTTTTTCAACATCAATAAACTATTTTATGGAAATACACATAGCGTACAAAGATAAATGTATTTAAATTTTTTTATTCTGTATATATTAGTTGCATTATATTAGAATTATGTATTTTCATATATTATCTAATTATGAAATTTTATAATTAATTATATATTAAAACTGAAGCATTGAAAATTGTGAGTTTAAAAGATACCTATTCACTATAGGTAAATAAATAGATAGCTCGGCTTTTGTACAAATATTTGGTGCAATAAAAAATAAATAAATAAATAGGATGTTTCGCATATGTGTTTTTGATTATTGTTATTTTTTACGTGTTACGTATTGAAAAGTTACCTACTAATTTTTGAACTTATGCTGGCAGATATTATCCTCACCCCAATGATTGATGAGGATGAAAATCAATTTTATTTCTACATACGTAATTATATTTATTTATACATAAGGGTAACTTTAATAAAGGTAATACAAAAATCAACAAGAAGTATAAGGGTTCAATCTTTCAATTTCAGTTGTAAAAAAACGTTACCCCCACACTAGGATTTTCTCCTGTGTCGTGGAGGCAGTTTACAAACATAAATTGCACAAAGACAAACATCCAGACCCGGAACAATTATTTGTAGGCCATACACATACTTGTTCCATGCGGGATTCGAACCCGCGGCCCCCAGCGCAACAACTGATTGCTAAGCCACTGCGCCACCATGAAGCTAATACAAAGACTAACTTTGTATTTGCTTCATGGTCGCCGGGTTATAGCTAAAGTGACCATACGTCCCGTTTTGAACGGGACTGTCCCTTTTCTCGGTCTCCTGTCCCATTGTCCCCAAACAAAGCTCCGGGACACAAAATTGTCATGTAACTAGTTGGATGGAAGTATTCAAAGTCAACAATCTTCAACATAATTTTTTTTAATCGAATATATTTTATGTCTACCTGGTACGAATGCTCCGGTAGAAAGAGTATTTTTTTATTTTGCATAAATTGTGGACGTCTGAAAGAAACACTTACGGTTCCAGAGTTCTAAAGGCGATGTTGTTAACAAAGATAGATAACAATAAAAAACTTGAGCAGAATTTTATTCTTATTTAAAATCATCACCAACTTTATTAAAGCAAATTTAATCCACTGACAAATGTAATTAATAATTAAAAAAAATATGTTGCATTTAATAATTACCGTCTATACCGAATATAATTTTATAGTGAACACTAATTGTATAAAGTTATAGTTTTTAGAGTATAAATAAACCCATGTCCTGTTATGAGTTAAAAAATAAATGGTCAGTTTAGTCTTTTTAGTTAAATTTAGTTTTAAAAATCTTTAGTTTATAGTAAAAAGTAGGTATATTAGTACTTTTTACCGAATTATAAGTATAGAACACCTTATGTACTCAATTATTTTTTGAAAAAGAAGAAAAAACAAGCAATAAATAATATACTATATTTTAGCAAAAAACTATAACTTAGTAATACTAATTATAACTTAGAACATAAATGAAAAACTCATAACTGACTTTTTGGCCCGACCCAGGATTCGAACCCATGATCTCAGACTCATGATCAGCAGTCGCACTACTACAACCACTAGACCAACGAGGCAGTACTATACCTGATAAGATATTGTGGTTGGGTGATAATATTGAATTAGCCTTTTATAGTGTAAATTATAATATTTGTCGAAATTTTAATTATGGATTCGAACCTTACATGCTAATGGTGCTTCATTTTTTTATTTGCATTTACTTCAAAGAAAATACACGCAAAAAGCTTCATCGCGCAGTAAAGAACACAACAAATATATGTATAACTAATACGAAAAATTATGCCCAAAACAAACAAATAATACTACCTATAAATAACCTAATAAGTAATATTATTTATCGACTGATATTACGTGAGTGTATGCGGCGCTGGTCGACGCTCTAACGACACGGGCTTCGCGTCGAAGAGCTCAGGGCTCAATGACTCCAGCAAGCCCGTGAGCAGTGAATATGCCCAGATTTTAAAATAATTTCTTAATAAAATCAAATTTTGGTCTTTTGAAAAAAAATTTACTATAGAAATGTTCATTAATAAATTGCCTATCCATTGGTGTAAATCGCAAAATAAAATAATACTTACTTTACGAGGAGATGCATGTTATCAATAATAATTTCACATTTATGTGGTTTCGTTGTAAGGAGATTATATTAATATTTATTCCTTTAAAAAAAAATTGGATATAGCTTTTATGGAATCAAGATTATGTAGAAATATAATGTGTTTTTTATTTGTTGATATATCTTTTAAATAAAAAGTAGATAGCTTCTAAAAACCGCCCAAATAACGACTAGCGCGACATTTTGCTCAACCTGCGCCTTAAAGGTATTTTTATACTATTTTATAACACCTGCTATGTATGTTTGTGGTTCCGGTACAAAATTTGTAATCGATTTTTCGATAACTTCTATTTGTACAAATGTTGGAAGTTTTCTTCCATTTTTGGTCTTATTAAAAGTTTTGTTATTTTGATGATGGAAAAATATTTTTTTGTGTTTTTACATAATATACTAATAAAATTATATTTTTTTTAAATATTTGTTTTAAATTTTTATTTTCATCAATTTAATAATGATAACTTTTTACTGGTGGCTTCAGAAAAAATATATTTGGAATATTTTTATAGGCACCCCAATTACCAAAAAAAAAGCAAAGAAAGACGGAGAATGAAAATCGGGAATTTAAAGTTGAGTGGACTGAGAATTTTGCGTTTATTCAAAACTTGACTTCCGACATGTCTTATTTGTAAGGAGAAATTCGCGCATAACAAGAAGTCAAATTTAGAGAGACACTTTACAAGAAAGTACGCGTCATATAGCACTAAATATCCTACCGGTGATGCAAGGAAGAAAGCAGTTGAGGAACGTCGGAAGAGTCAAGAGTCGTAAAATTCTGTGTTTAATAACTGGATGCAATCTTCCAGCAATATTAATATGGCAAGTTTTGTTTTTAGCCAAGAGATTGCTAAGAGAGGGAAACCGTACACAAACGTACCGAAAATGTGTTCGAATATAACCATCCAGCATATCGAAGCTCTAAGATTGGTTTCGGCTTTATCAATAGCAGTTGACGAGTCTTGTGGCATAAATGATACAGCGCATGTTTCAGTTTTTGTAAGTTTTATGTCTCATTCAGGCCCTAAAGAAGGACATTTAAGATTATTGCCACTCAAAGGTCAGACGCGTGAAGAAGATATCGCAAATGCTGTAATTGAGTGTATGAATAAACATCATATTCTCCTCGATAAAATTGTGTCGATTTCAACAGATGGGTCCAAAGTATGACCGTGCTATTTTGTAAGAAAAAAATAATCACGAGATACTTGTTTACCATTGTATCATTCACCAAGAAGCGCTTCGTGCGCTATCATTTCCGGATGGAATTTGTAAAGTTATGGAATTAGTAATTACCATTATCAACTCCATTTTAGCTAAAGCTCTTAATCATCGCCAACTCAAAGAATTTTTATTTGAAATGGAGAGTGAATACGCTGATCTTCTGCTTCATAACAAGGTACGTTGGTTATCAAGAGGGAACGTTTTAAAACGTTTCACGTCCCTTTTTCCGGTAATTAAAGCACTATCCAGAACTAACAGACGATCAGTGGATCCAAAACTTTTATTTCATGGTAGACGTAACGTGTCATCCAAATCAGCTTAATCGTAAACTACAAGGTAAAGGAAACTTAATTATTTCGATGTTAGAAGAAGTAATAACATTCGAAAAAATTATCCATTTATGCTCAGGATTTTGAAAGAGAAAGATTGTTTCACTTTCCGAGCCTGCTGAGGCATCGCCAAGGAAATAATTCCTCTATTGATAAATACCGTTTTAAAATAATAATTTAAAATATGAGGGAAGCATTTCTCAGCATGTTTAAGGAATTTAAACAAAACAACAGAGCAACTTTAGCATTTGTCAAATATCATCTTAATGCTACGATAACCGAGTTGAAATTTTCTCATTTGAAATTGACATTGGTAGCCTTAAAATACAATTGTTGGATTTAAAAAACAAGCAGATATGGCACTCTAAATTCGAACGTCCTTGTGTTGAATTGGAAAAATATTGTAGAAGAAAAAATCTGTACTTAGTTCACCACACAAGTGGTCTGCTCTGAATGACCTGGAGAAGGAAGACATGATCATTTTCAACGTTCGGAATAGTATTCCTGACTTACGATCAGCTGAAAAAGCTCGAGTTTACTGTTCATTTCCTTTTCGATTCTACATATTTTTTTTTTATTTATTGATTAAAGTGTTCATACATATTTTTTTTATTTGTACCATTAAACCAAAAATGGTTTGTATTGGTACTCACATTCGCAACTACCGCACTGCTTAACATTAAATAATTAGTTAATCTTAACAGTAATCAAAAATATACATTGAAATATACCTCCTTTTTGTGTAAGTGGTATATGTATATGGTATATATATATGCAAACAATCTTTTTCAAGCATGAACATTATCAAGAGTAAATTGAGAAGTAGTCTTATTGATGAGAACTTGGAATCATGCCTAAAATTTAAAACAACAACATACAAACTTACCAAGGAGATGCAAGCACATTGTTTGCATTAATAAATATTTATTAAGTATGAAATTTAGTTTTATTTAGTGTACTACTTACTTAGTGTAATAAACGTTAACTAAACAGGCTCCCAACTTTTTTTTAAATTGTTATAATATTCATATTTGGCTCTTTGGCTAATAAGTTTGCCGACCACTGGTCTAGTAGCTGCAGCAACTGCGCCAAAGAGCAGACTTACAGTGTGTCAATGTATATCTGCTGGATCTGGATGAGAGCGAGCGGCGCAGAGGTCACCGCCGAATCAGATCTTACGGTAATGATAGTAGCGCGGCAATTGAGCTGCCAGCAGACATGCAGCGCGTCAGTGTACCTGCGGGAGAAGAGTGAGGCGGACAGAGAGCAGTCAGTTTGCGTTGCTGGCGCAGCAGCTGCGAGCCGAGAGCGAGGCTGGTAGAGTGGCAGGGGCAGTCACCTCGCGGCTCACGGTCCGAGCAAACGGTGTGCCTGCGGGAGGAGAGCGGGAGGAGTGGGACGGCGGGTAGGGCAGTCACCTCGCGGTACTGGCGCAGCAGCTGCGGCGACTGCGGCAGCGACCAGTCGACGGCGGGGCGCGCGCCGCCGCCCCAGGCCGCCGCGGCCGCCGCCACCAGCGCCTTGCGCGCCATGGCGGCGCCGCGGTGCGACCGGTACTCCACGATGGCGGCGCACGACGCGGCCGAGCGCCGGATGCGCACTTCCTGCACCTCGTCCGTCAGCGCGTACAGCAGCCGCACGATCTCCGCGGACGCAGTCGTGGCCGGGATGCGCGAGATGAATATGCGGCAGTTGTTGATCGACGGGCACACGCCTGTGCATAGACGAAATCATTACACTTCAATATATCGACTTATGAATGACTGTCGTCATTGTATCATCTAGTTGAAATTGATATGAAAGCAATGTAAAAACAAAATCTATCGACATCGCAAACCAAAAAACAGAGAACACTACGCATTTAACAAGTAAAGCCAATACCATTACACACAGTTATTCCGAAGTCTGCATGAAGATATCAATGGACACCAATAAGGAGCTTAGTAACATTATTAATATTAAAATGAACAAAAGTTATAATACTGCTCTTATTATGAGTACCGTTAATAGGTCCTTTGTTTCTAGGACATACTTATTTACTAAAACGTTACCATTACAGCCAGGCAGCCAGCCAAAAGTCCACTGCTGAACGTAGCTCATTTAGACATCATAGGGACATTTACCAGTCGCCAACGCCAAGCGAGTTGGCAACCGGAGTTTTATTTTTAGGTTGACGCTGCTACCCATCTTATTTGTTTCCCTCTGTCGCCTCTTATGACACCCACACGATGTTATGGGGTAGGGGATATTCTTAACCCGCCACTACACGGTATTATAGCACTATAATTATTACACACTATGCTATAGCCAAAATTGAGAAAATATCATTGTAACTATTTTACAATATCCAATTATTTACTCACGGGCTATCGATCGACGACGTGATCTACTGGCATATTATCTGGCATATAACCAGTTGATCTTTACGATCAACGAGCAACAAGATATGTACTCGTAACATATAACTTAATTCAAAGGCACCCAAACTGTACAGGTGTATAAAAAATAAGACTTTGTAGCTGTCATGAAGCAGCTTAAAACGCATGACCCTGCTAACTATGATAAAGCACGATCTAATAAAAAAATCAATTTCTAATCAATTTATATGATATATCAGGACGTTACCTTTGAAGTTGCCGTTTTGTATGGGAAAGTAAAATTAACGGTAACTATGCATTCTATCTTAGTCTTCGGGAGGTGACAACTGATAACGTATTCTTAATTTTGATTTTTAATCGATGAAAGATGTAGGTGGCTGCAGGCCACAGCACCTACTTACCATCAGGTGCACTATGCTCGTTTGTTGATACTCTATTAAAAAAAAAAACTGTTAACATATTTTTGCCAATTTATGAGCAATTTAATGATGATTTGCAATAAAAGTCAGTACAAGAATCTATGAACTCTGTAATGCGTTCTTTACTGCTACTTCGGAATGGAAAATTTAGCCTATAAAAGTAATCTAAACTTCGAAAAAGGAATAGTCTGATGTTGCAAGGTCTAGAGATGTTGTAGATGAGGAAAGAAACTTTTAAAGCGGAAGGACGTCATTACGAAGCAGCAATGGCTAAGTACAGTTCACCAATCTGGGTTGCTTCAGTGCCTTAAAAATTTATTTGATCTTAGAACTCCAAGCCAAACCAGAGCTCGAAGTTTTCAGGGAACGGCAATTTTATAGGTCAAAGTTATTTTCTTTATTTTATTTACTTATTACTAACAGCCGTTGTAGGTCAGTGGCTAAGCGCCCGCTGTAAAGTTCACCGAGTAACCCAGGTTCGATCCCCGACGGCACCACAAATTAATTTTAAGTGCTGATTTACCACGTGCTCGGCGGTGAAGAAAAACATCGTGAGGAAACCGGCGTATCTGAGAAATGAGCAAAAAAAATTTCACAGACATGTGAAGTTCGCCAACAAGCATTTGGGGAGCGCGGCGGACATTTTCTGGCCATAAAGTTAGTTACAAGCTATATATACCACAGAAATGAGATGAGGCCTCTGCACAGCACTAGGACTTATATAACTTTAACTTTTATTACTTACAATCAACTCTTACAACTTTCAGCTATGAACGTATATTATCCACTTTTATTATAAAAAGCAGTAGGATACTTACCCAATTGCCATGACGGTCTAATCATATAGTTATTGAACATTCTGATCGCGTTACTCGCTTCAGCATCCGTAGTGTACATCGCGAATGCGTACCTGTGTATGTAGATTTTATCAACACAATAATTATAATTTTGCGTAAATGTAAATTACATATCATAATAATTTTTACCGCGATGTGGCGATGTAAGCGTCCATCGGCGATTTCGTGTTGGCTGTCGTAAGAGGCGACTATTGGAAAGGCCTGAAATAGATTTGGCGGTATACATCTAAACAGACGTCATGCGTAAATCAGGTAACAACAGTTACTATTTTCAGCCTATTAATGTCCACGGCTGAACTTAGGCCTTCCCCATAGATTGCCTCATAGGGCAATATTTGCCATAGTTGCCACGCTTGGCCAGCGGGTTGATACCCGAAGTTAATTATTTTATTTTAGTCGTTATTAGGAAGACCCTGCTGATCCCATCTCCTGATCTCTTGTTTCCCTCTGCCGCCTCTTACGACAATCACTGAATGATATGAGGCCACGGTGGCAACGGAAGATACAATCAAAAGTGCGAGACGCCTGGTACTGCGATCGTCACGAATAACACAAATCCTCAATACAGCAGGAGAGGCCCCAGCAGTGGGCTTTTACAGGATACTACATATTTGCATTTTTATAAAAACTTCTTGATTAATATTACAAAGGATCTTAATATTATTGCGCGCCACAACTAATGCATGGTACATGGCGACACTAGGAACCCCAAGCCCGTAACAAAATGAATACCTTGAACTTAGGCCGGACACAAATTATAAGTCTCAGAAAGTGTCCCTGATTAAAATATCAAAACAATAGACTCAGTTTCAAAGGAAAAATAACATTAACTAGCAAGTAGTAAGACGGCTGTTAATTTATTAAGCCAATAAAGGCGTTATAACCAACTCATATAAAACCGTAACGTAAAATAACTAAAAATAAAATTTTCAAAACCCCCGAAACAGGGAGATGATCTTCAATCGGCCAACAGATTTTCTTGAAACATAGCTGAGAACACTCTCGATTAAGGCACCTTTCAAACAAAAAAAAACCTAATCGGTTCATCCGTTCGGGAGCTATGATGCCACAGACAGAAATATTTGTGTATCTGTGATACACAAATATCACACACTACAAACGTATGTCTGATGTGTATCTGTGTTTCTTCCCCCCCTCTGTTTTCATCGGGGGTTAATAAGAAAACGGCGCCGGGAATCAATTTGACATTTTCAATACGTCATGTAATCCGCCAGCCATCTTATCGAGGCATAAGGCAAAATCTCCCTTACATGGGAGACGTCCAAGTACAAGTGGACTGTTTAGAAACTTTCCAGCCTTTTACAAATTTACAATGTCATCTCGTAACCAAATGCCTTGAAGAAAGTTTATCTTAGAGGCCGCTATCACATTTCACAACCTTTAAAAGCTAAGGAAATATACGAATATAAATAAAGATTTAAACGGAAAGTAAAGAGAACATACAGTACCCTCTATTCCAACCCGAAAAGTTAATCATAAGACGAAACTCGAATAATTCGCCCGCCTGTCGGAATAAAGGTACCAGCGTATCTTCGAAGCAGTCGTGGGGAATTCTACCGATAAACACCTGTAACAAGATAAATTGCATTAAGGAAATATAAATTCTCCCAAACATCGTGTAGGTAATGTAGAGTAGCTCACGAATTATGTTAACTGTAACAAGTAAGGGATAAGTTTAAAATCATAGAAGCAACACGTCTCTTTAGTTAAAACCTATTTTAACATGGCGAACCTCTCTAAGAGTATAGTTTTTATTCAGGACAACAAAGAATTACATAATAAGGCTTAAACCAAATAACAATTTATAAATCATCATCATTCATCATTACAACCCATCAACAAGTCATAGGCCTCCCCCAAGGAATGCCACAAAGCACCAAAGCATCCATCGATTTCCTGCATGTCTTATCAGGTCGTCACTTCACCTAGTGGGGGGACGCCCTACACTTCGTCCGCCGGTACGAGGCCGCCACTCGAGAACCTTTTTCACATCGGTTGTCGGTTCGAGCTTTATGGTCGGCCATTGCCGCTTCAGCTTACTAATCCGTTGGGCAAGTATACCTAACGAGAAGATGTGCCGTAATTTCCCGAACGCTGCCCAGCCGAGTTGAATCCGTCGATTGACCTCTCGGTCGAAGTTGGACTTACCTAGTCGGACTATTTGTCCCAGGTAAACATACTCGTCAACAACTTCGAGCTTAGTGCTCCCAACAACTACCGGCATAGGTGTGACATGGACATTAAACATGATCTTTGTTTTGTCCATGTTCATCTTGAGACTTAACGGATAGGCCGTTGGGAGACACTATTGAGTTCATTGAACATGGTGCTTATGTCCTCCAGCGATTCTGTCATAAGAACTATATCGTCGGCAAATCGAAGGTGAGTGATGTACTCGCTAATGATGTTAATACCGTATCCTTTCCAGTCCAGAAGCTTGAAAACGTCTTCCAACGCAGCGGTGAAGCGTTTCGGGGATATAACGTCACCATGTCTTACACCTCTCTGCAATTGGATAGGTTTCGTACTCTGGTTCTGTACTCGGATAGCCATAGTAGTACAGTACTACTACTGTACAAGCACTTCAGCACTTCGATATACCGACAGTCAACTTGGCACCGCTGAAGAGACTGCAGCACCGCCCAAATTTCGACGGAATCAAACGCTTCCTCATAGTCCACATAGGCCAGACATAGTGGCAAATTGTACTCCTCGGACTTCTGTACAATTTGCCGAAGAGTATGTATGTGGTATATCGCCTCGTTGGTGCTGACTGCTGATCATGAGGTCCCGGGTTCGAATCCCGGGTCGGGCCAAAAATTCAGTTATTGAGTTTTTCCATCAAGAAATTCTCAGTAGCTGCCCTATGTCAGGAAGTTGGCGGTGTCTCACCCCCGTGCCTCGGAAAGCACGTAAAGACGTTGGTCCTGCGCCTGATCTCTCTCCGGTCGTGTCGGTTTACCGTCCCATCGGACTTTGAGAGTGAGGGAATAGAGAGTGCACCTGTGCTTGCGCATACACTTGGGCACTATAATCCTGTCCTGCGCCGATGGCTAGTCTCCGTTGAGACTGGCCGCCGTGACCGAAATTCGGTCTGGAGGACATTATGTGGATATACCACACAATGTCAAATGCTAAAGCCTTTTTGGAAACCGGCTTTTCCGAGAGGCTGGAAGTCGTCGAGTCTGCATGCGAGACAATTCGTAATGACTCTCGAAAACAGCACGTACACGCGGCTCAGAAGGGAAATCGGTCTGTAGTTCTTCAAGAGAGAGTTGTCGCCTTTCTTGAAGAACAAGACCATCGCATTTCTGCTCCACGCCTCAGAGGTAGTGCCACAATGGAGGACGGAATTAAAGAGCTTCTGAAGGATTACAAGTACCGGTTTTCCACCCGCTTTCAGAAGTTCCGGTGTAATTTCATCCTCGACTGGGGCCTTGTCGTTTTTAAGGTGCTGCAGTGCCATTCTAATCTCGCTCAAACTGACGTCCGGAATATCATCAGAATATCATTTATAAATAAACATTAGTAATTAATAATGTAACCAGCGCCGTTATCCACAAAGTAATATTAAATTAGTAGCAATAAATGCGCAGGTAAACAGTTTAAGTGAAAAAAAAAACAAATAAAATTGACAATACTCAGCAAAATGAAGCCTTACTTACTAGTCTTTACTCCTTCGATAGTCTTCGAGATAATTGATAAATATATGTCTGTTCTCTACTATATAGTTTTCTATACTATACTAATCTATAGTTTTCGATTATTAGCAATAACATTTGCAGAAAGTAACTTGGCTAACCCCGCTGCTATTTTGAGTGTGCTAAGCGAAAGCTGTTGAAAGATTGCATTGATGATGTTCTCATTTTATTCATATTAAAGTCGGTTGTGCATAATTTTAAATTTTACCACTTGTGTTATTTCATCACAATTAAATCACATATTATGTAGGTTTATATCTTTACCAAATAGAATTGGCATTAAAACACTTATCACGCATTATAGATCAACGGATCAGAAAACTAAAGTGGCAATAGGCCGGTCATATAGCTTCAATAACTTGATGTGGAAAAAAGGATCTCAAGTGGCAGCCTCGTACTTCGTTCAATGGCTAGATGTACTAAGATGGGATGTATCAGGAGGATGCTATGGCCCATCATAGCATCCTCCTGATATAAATATAAATAAATGTTTACTGTATATGGTTAATAAATGTGTACGGTAAATGGTTACTGTGCCCCAGAGACATCTAACTCTATCATCGATTAAGATTCATAATGTGGACGCGTCACCCCTGAGGAGTAACATGGAAAGCCTCGTTTCCAGTAAAAAGTTCCGACACTCACCATACGAAACAGCAACATTAAGCTTCTGTTTCACGCTGGTATTATTTCAGTCCAGTCGAGTCGACTTATTCGTGTTACAATGGTAATATAGCTGCGGCATGACTCTACCACCTACAAAATTCTTCTTTCTAACCTCTATTACCTTCGCGGCGGAGAGATATCCATATTATGACTTCCAAATTTTAAAAAATAGGTGCATCACGTAACGTATTTAAAGAGAAAGCCCATGGTTGATTAGTGGCTACCTCAACGTAACAAAATCGGTGAAAATGACTCCAAACCGCCGTCATTCCGAAAGATATAAGCGAGGTGATACCGGCAAATTTTGCCAACAAGAGTTCCATTTCAAACAGTAATTGTTTACGAATGATGAGTAAATATAATAAATATATAATATATTTATTCCAAGATAACTTGGGACTGCAAGCGAGAAACATCATCCCAACATGTTTTAACTCAAAAGCACACGCTTTTTTCAACTTTCAGGGTCAACAATGCATGTACTGAGTATTTTTCGACGTTCAGAGTAAATAAAGAAAAAGCGTTTAAAGAGAAAAATCATTATTACAGTCTATCAAAAGTTCGCTGAACAGAGGCCTCCCATATAATAGAAACATATATATTATTTACTACTCGTATTCGTTTAGTCTACACGTATTTACTGTCGGCACAGTATAATTCATATTTATTTATACTGTGCTATCGGCGAGACTAAAATATGAGCGTACGTACCTGTTTATAAAGTATTACCAATTACATAACCATTGCTAATATATACAAATGTAAGTGCCTACACTATACTAAGCAGACTCACTGTTGCACAAACAAGAGCCATATGTCTTAGGTAAATGGACAAGGCATAGTTTAAAATAAAAAATTTAATTTATACTCGCGGTATAGCCGAAGCTTATTCGCGGTTGGATCGAAAATAGACCATACTATATGGGGTGGGTTTACACCAAAGAGATTTAAATATATAGGTACTACTACTACTTAAATGTCTTTGGTTTACACATTCAACATTATTGACAATACCAGTTCGTCAATAATATTGACAATAACTGTGTATTGTTGGTGCTATTTAAATTACCAATTTAATGTTGATGTAAATCATGCACGCAGTTCATCTGATCGTTGAGTTAAACAGACGTGTGAAAACATAAATGATACAAAAAAAAAGCTTGCATAGTTATAATAGTAGCCATTGGACAAACAAATAAGAAGAAGAAAGCGACGTCGTTAGGTGAAAAATTGGATGGCTAAATAAAATGTGTACATTCTTATAAATCTTTTGAAGGAAATAGAGACGACAATTACATGCCGTCCTATTTTTTTTACTATTATAAGCCAGCGCTTGACTGATTGACTATCCCACCTGATGGTAAGTGGTGATGCAGCCGAAGATGGTCAAGTGCACTTAGTTTAACAAAAGCCTACTAACTCTGTCTTGAAGACACCCATATTATATTTGGATGGAAAGACAAGGGTTGGAGGTGATCCGATGATGGAATGGAGAGGAATGAATGAATTTATGCATGCAATTCCAGCGCACACTCTCCGAAATGTATCCTGTAAAAAACCGAAATGCTGCCTACTTTGCGCCTGTGCTCGATGCTGGTAATATTGGTTCTCAAAATATTGGTGTCAACGATAAGCCTAAGAAGGCACGCCTTTTCATTGAGTCCAAAGCAGCTAGGTGGCATTTTGCAGCATCATCCTATAGCACACAGCAATACTCCAGCACAATCGGACTTGCGATTTATATACTTATTGTAAGCAATTGCCACTACGTGAAGTATTGCCGCACCTTTACATAGACACCTAACTTCCTAGCTGCTTAAACCTTAGACTAAGTGTCAAATATTGATAAGATTGATACACACGGAGTTTGCATTTATCAATACAAACACCACGCCCACATACTGATTGGTTTTCAAAAATATGGAACTGAATTTTCATCAACATTGCATCAATATTATCAATAACATCAATATTGTATCGATACAATTAGCAATACAATAAATACAGCAAACATTACCAGCGTAAAATAGCACCATAATGCTGCCGTGATTCGTATGGTGCCTGATTAGAACCAAAGACCTTTTATACTCGTATTCTGCTGGCACACCGCTGTCACGCCGCTACTGTCTCACCATATGCCGTACTAATCCTAAATGCATTAAGTAATTTTGTGGATTTCTATATCTACATGTATATTATGTGGAATCGGAATGAGGAATTTAGGATGAAAATCTGAATCCTATTTTAATTCATTCGGAAGAAATAAACGAATAAATTTGACCTTACTGCGATTTTAATAAACACGGCATCATTAACTTCATTGACTATCGCCAATGAATTAGTAACAACCACGAAATCAAAATGGTATTATAATTAAAACTTGCACTATCGAGCGTTTATAGGTTTACCAGGTCATGTTAGTTTTTCGTAAAAACAACCTTGTAATTGTTTTAAACATGTTTTTGCTGTATTCTGAATATATAAATGGCAAGCCACAAACACTTATATTCTTAATACGCTTTTAGCTTCATCTGTATCATGTATGTGTGAATGAATGTAATGGAATTTTGTAATTCTGTTTTACGTCCTTTTTTATAGAATAGGATGACAAACGAGCACACAGTCCGCCTGATGGTAAGTGGTTGATGTGACCCATAGACATGTACATTTATCCTCAATTAAGAATCAAAATGCAGGTTCGTCGTCACCCGTGAGGACTAAGATGGAATGCCTCTTTTCCAGTAAAATGGGACTCCGGTTATCTACACTCACCATACGAAACACAGCAGTGTTAAGCTGCCATTTTACGCTGGTATTGTGAGAATCCTTCTAAAAGATCTGAATTTTACAGACGTATTATGAACCAGTGACAATACGATAATTTCATGACAATTATCTTCGACCTAGTGTTCTCATTAGGATCATCGCAGCAGAGCAATAAGTGTTTTTTGGTTTATAAGGCTCCATACCCGAAAGGTAACTAATGGGACCCTATTGCTAAGTCTCCGTCTGTCCGACCGTCCGTCCATTCGTCAGCGGACTGTATCTCATGATGCGTAATAGGTAGAGAGTTGAAATTTTCACAAAAGGCTCCCCTAGTAAAAACGTGTTATTTTGCATACATAATATTAAATCATGTACTATGGTACGGAACCCTTCATGCGCGAGTCCGACTCGCACTTGGTCGGTTTTTTTAAACTCAAATTTTATTTTAGTCCAATTCGACATGTTCATCACGCGACTCCATGTTTAAGTAGGATTGTTGTCTATTCTGTGCTGATGGTATCAAGTAAGCAATATACTAAATGTTCATTAAAGTATGGCAAATTGGCAAATTTATATGGCAATATGGCGACGCGTTTTTGTCTGGTCTATATAAAACGCGGCGGTTAAGCGAAAACTAACATTTATTTAAAATTCGTGTGATAACATATTGTTTGGGATTGTTAGAATGCAGTACCAAATATACGGGAACAAACAGACACAATCGAACTCGAAATTTATATTTTTAATCGACTTCAAAAGAGTAGGCTCTGAAATCAATTGTATGTTATAGTAACTATTTAGACGACTGCCTTGTTGACTACGGTCTAGTTGTTAGCTTGAGCTTGTCCTTATTAGTCATCTTTATTAAAAACTAGCTGGTACCCGGCGCGTAGGTGTCGCAAAAGAAATAATTGTGGAAATATCGTTTTAAATTTGGAACAGTTTTAGCCTGGAGTTAGAAGTTTCAACACAGCTTGAAAGAAAACATCGTAATGGCGTTGATCCTGCGCCTGATCTCTCTCCAGTCATGTCGGTTTACCGTCCCATCGGATTACTAGAATGGGGGACTAGAGATAATAATTACCAGTTTAGGCAACTATCATCTTTACGTTTATCACAATACGATGATTTTATTCGGCCTTAGTTAAACGGCAAGTTCGTTAGTAAAACGTTAGACGAACTACAGGAAGTACAGTTTTAGGACAGTATAAGGGTGTTTTTCCACTAGAGATGTGCTATGCTATGTTGCTGCTATCGATGCGTTTAACATCCACCAATCATATTCATTGGTCCATATAGCTTAGCATTGGTGGAAATAGGTTCAACTAAGCAATGTTTTTATATGGAAGGATGCGTGCTCTGGATGCGTGCTATAGATGCATTCGTACTATAGATGGTCGCGCGTGGTGTAGCTATGTGCAGAGCAGAGAACCTACAGTAAGCGCGCGTTTTTCACCGAAAGTATAGATGCCACCGTGGTAGCAAAAAGTTATTTTATATCTCGCAATGTGCGAAAAAGAACTCGTGGTGGAGGATGAATTGTTGTTCACCTGTTTACTCCAACGAAGAAATCATAGATTCTGAATGCAAAATGATATTAAATATCACTCGATATAATCAGAATACTTTAGATTGTTTCAAATAGTTGACAATGAGACGTTCCAGAATTCTCAGCGACAAAAAGTAAAACCGTTACATAATATGATCGAATCATATATCAAGAAGGAAGATACTCAGTTCAGAAAATGTATCAGTACGAAAGAAAGATTAGCGGTTTGTTTAAAGTAAGTAGACTTTCGAGCTCCGCATTTTCCTCGCACAGCTACCTTGCGGCGCCCCGCTACATAGCTTAGCCTCAGTGGAAACGGTCACATAGTTTCGTAACTTATCTTTCGATCCTCACAGCATAGCTGCATAGCACATCTGTGGTGGAAAAGCACCCAGTCTTTAAACTGTGATAAGAATGAGGGAATAAAGGGTGCACCTGTGCTTGCGCATACACTTTGGCACTATAATCCTGTCCTGCCCCGATGTCTAGTCTCAATTGAGGCTGGCCGCCGTTACGGAATTTCGGTATGGAGGACATTACCACGCTTGGCAGGCGGGTGGAAAACGCAGATTTTTATTCTTAATATTGTTATCAAGAACATATTGCCTGTTCATCTCCTGTTTAAGTTTCCCACTGTCGTTTCTTACGACACCCCATCATTATCATTGCAGCCATCACAAATTTACTGCTGAAATTAGACCTCTCCCAGAAGGTTACAAAGCTAGACCATGTGCCACCGCGTGACAACTTCGTAAATTTATTTCCAGGTCGTCACTCCATCAAGTAGGTAACCGCCCAGCAATTTGCTTATCTGTACGTGGCTGCCACTCAGAGAACCTTTCTTCCCCATCGGTTGTTGGTTCTTCTAGCTACATAACCGGTACTTAGCCACTTCAGGTCCTCCTTCGTTGGGCTATGTTGGACAATTCGAAAATGTCGACAAGACATCCACGGGATAATTTGGGGTAATGTATTCTCTAGGTAAGGATTGCCGTGTACTCTACTGCAAACTAAGAGTGCCTACATAGCAGCTCTCACCCATTGTCGGCAAATAGCTGTTTAGAATTCCACCTACTGCTGCGTTCCGGTTTGAAAGCTCAAAACAATCATGAACTGTGAGGAATTTCATGTTATTGTTAGTCTTTAGTGTGAATGCATCTTTATAAGTTATGCAATTATGCATAGAGTTTACCATTAACAAGATTTTTTTCAATTTCATAAACAAGTGGTAAAATTAAAAAAAAAAATTACAACAAACTTCAATATAAATAAAAATGAAAACATCATCAATGTAGTCCAAATCTATTAAATACGCATTATTAAGGATAACTCAAAAACTACTGGTCAGATCTTGATCATGTTTATATGGGACCACATGACAAGCACCAGCTTTCAAATAAAGAATCATCAAAATCGGTTCACCTAGAAAAGTTTTGAGATAACATAAAAAAATAGTCGAAAGTAGAACTTCCTCCTTTTTTGAAGTCAGTTGAAAACAATTAAACAAACAAAAACAAACTATCGAAAACTTATTGTGTAAATAGGTACTGTTTTGGAAATTAGAATTTGAATCCAGGGCTCACTGGAGGGGTAATAGAACAATTATCACAACTATAGTTTAACTGTATATTTGATTAAATAAATGATATTTTGCTGATTTTTGCATCAATGTAAACCCTTTTGTCTAACTTGCACGTGACAAATTTGGTAATGCAATGTAACACAACCTATAATATACATCAACAGGCCTCCTCTCAACCTCTCGTTTTTGAAAGGATTATGGACCAATATGTCTGCCGCGCTGCTTCCATTGCGATCTCCGCATAGGTATCCTCGAAATATTTTATTTCTCAGACATCAGGTTTCCTCACGATGTTTACCTTCGACGCCGAACACGTGATAAATCAGCGTTTGGCCATGGAAGGAAAAGGGCAGATCTCCTACCGAACTTGTTGATTAACCCGTCGAGCGGCCAACACTCCCGACAATTTGATAGTCACTAGTAACTAGTTAGTAAAATAAAAATGTATTGGGACGGCGTGTAAATTATTTTTGTTCTTTCTATTATACTTATAAAAAAGGCGCTACGGTATGCACATGTTGTTACACTTACAAAATAACATAGAAATAGAATAATTAGAATGGAAATTGCAAGACAAAACCTTACCAATTTAAGTAATTGGAATAGCACAATATTATAAAAAGATGCTGCCAATTTCTCGTTTCCTTCGTTCTAGTTTACAAGGGTTTCCTATAGATCACCTTTCAGACATTTCGTTGAACTTGAATACAAAATATATAGGAGAAAGATACTTTACCACACAATATAGTATTAGTACATACACATACCGCGTAATACTTAATTTTTTTAAGAGTAAACAATTAACAGTTAAAAAATTAACATATTTGGCGCGCGTTTCAAATTATAAACTACTAAAGGTTACAAACTATTTGTACATTAACGTTATGAATTTCTATGAATAGTGTGTTTTGTTACCTCACAACTTCTAGATGGTTCAGGTCCATTCCAAGCATGAGGAGCCTTCCTATAAATTCTTTGTCCATTAATTTGTGTTAAAGTATATGACGTGTTATTTTCAGTTAAGGACAATAATCTCGATGATAATTCATACTGATTCACTTCACTAGATGAATAATGTTTGATAGGAGGCATTTTTCTAATATTTAATTTAAAGCTTATAAAATATTTTAAATATTATATTATAATAGACGTTTGCACACCACCCACGATCCCCAATAAAAGAAACAAAATTATTATAAACGACAAAATGTAATGGAGAATCCATAAACAAAATGGTGGTCATTTGTTATGATTATGACCTTGAAAAATAATCAAAATACAGGCTCGTTATTCAAATTTATCATACCTATAAAAATTATTGTAATATTTATAGAAGACAATAATTATAAATTAATTTCTTAACGTACTAAAATTGAATAATACTTAACAAGGCTTTAATATTAACCAAAGAGAGGAAATTATTAAAAGCGGATATAAGCATATTTAAATTCAATTTTAGAAAAATGCAGTACATAATTTAGATATTCTTTTTTTCAATATTTACCTTTGTGTCACTTTATTTTTTATACTTTACAAAGAGTATATTTGAAGTTAACTACGTTTTAGTAATTTACTCCCTTCAAAAGTGTATTTCATGTTATATCTTAAATTAATAAACAGAGTACTATGTTTAATATCCTTTAGGACAAAGACTAAGGGCAAGGCAACAAATATAATGAAAACATATTTTAGTCATTTTACTTTATTTATAAAAAAAATAATATCAATCATTGATTCATTGTTTTAAGTAATATTGCAACTAAAACATAATTTTCTAAAATGTTATTAATTATTCATCAATATACATCTAAATCTAAAACTTTAAACAAATTAATATTAATGGCGTTACATTTACATGTAGGCTTGCCAAACGTCCCGGATTTTCAGGGACGTCCCGCTTCTGGATCAATTTTGGGGCGACCCGCCGCAACTCCGTGCGGGACGCCTTTTGTCCCGGAAATCAGTGATTATATGATATTAGTATCTAACTCGTACCAACTACACTAATTTTTTACACATTATTTTTTTTTTCTAAACAATTTGTATGTGGTGTGTTGTGTCCCGCATAATATTACCAAGTCTTGGATGTCGAGCTGGGTTATCCCGGAAATGCCTTTTTTGGCGTTGGTAAGCCTAGGCCATATACATACGGAATTCCGTTTCGAGATTCCGTTTCGGAATCCCGATTCGGGATTCCGTGCATACATCACATACACACGGTTTTTTTCCGTTCGGAATAACAAGGGTCAGTTGAGAGAAGTTAGCCATTGAGTCTAGACATTCTGCCAGCGAATAATGACGACGATTTTCTAATTGCAAATTTCATTCATGTATCATTCTTACTAGGTGCATCCCCTTATCACCCTAAGCTTGCAATATAGTCAATACTATGTAAAAAGATCTATCTATTCAGAGATATTTTTTAAATATTTATGTATGTAAATTCTATCGACGAATTATTAAATAAAATAAGATGAAAGGTTACGAAAAGCTATACACGTACAAGATTAAATGTAAAAACATACATAAATACACCTATTCGCTTCGGTCGTGCGACGAACACTGAGCGCATTCCGTACGGAATTTACGTATGTGTGTTGCGACTCGTACAAAATCTATGGAAGACGTGCGTTCGGAGCGGCTTTTTTCCGTTCGGGATCCCGAACGCACAGGCGGTCATACGGAATCTCGAATCGGAGAAATTCCGTACGGAAAAATAACGTACATGTGTGGCGGCTCATAGATTTTATATGGACTTGCTGCGTTCGGAATCCCGAATCGGAATATCGAAAAGGAATCTCGAAACGGAATTCCGTATGTATGTGGCCGGCCTTATATGCCACATACTTTGGATGCATAGTACTGTTTATTTATTCTGTGCTTTGGATGTCATATATTTTGTTTTAAATTTTATAATAATTTTTATAGTTTAGGTTTGGTATAATTAAAAACATGTGCTCAAATAAGGGCTAATAATCTTCCGCTCACTAGATGTCGTTAGTTGACACTGACGTTAAGTTTTTTTGTTATAATGCCTTCTGTATACTACTCGCGAAGTAACTTAAGGCCTGTTTTCACTTTGATTAGTGATTAGTGCAGGTGCTTAGTGTTTAGGAGTAAACACGTGTGGACAGCGATTGATTAGTGCAAGTGATTAATAACCTGTGTAGTAAAGTGATTAGAAGCGTGTTCTATTTTTTGTGAGTGGACTGCGAGTGTCACGCCCCGCGCGCCCTTCCTTTCCCCTCACTCGCAGCATGCCTGCCACTAACTAAACACGTTTGGACAGCAGTGCTTAGTGTTTAGCGTTTAGCGTCGGACGCTCGCTTCTGTTAAAAAATGTCCATACTTCCTGGTCGACTGCTAACAACTGAATTTACTAAACACAGCCACTAAACAGAATTGGACACTACTTACACTACACACCTGCACTAATCAACCGCAAAACTAATCACCTGCACTCGCACTAATCAAAGTGAAAACAGGCCTAACAGGCGATGTGCTCATCGAAGTCGATCGCAGTCCGAAGAACGTGATCACACACTCGTGCTACTTCGCGAAGAGCTCAGTCGTCTTGAGTCTCCCGCACCATTAACATGAATGACTTCCAAGAGGCAGCTGCTATAGGTACCTAATTGTGTGAACAGTACGACGTCAATGCGTTAACTAAATAAATAATTATGTAGAAAGCTACATATTTAATATTCATATATTAAAAAAATATTCATAACTGGCGTAAGCCGAAGTCCTTTGACTCTGGCGCAAAAAACCGACAGCGATCTGAAGTCGCCCGAGGCGAGACGAGGTTGCACGAAGCGAATCGAAGTACCTCTAAGCTCCACACTATTCGCCTCGTCAAAGTCCAACTTCGATTTACTTCGCGAGTAGTGTAGAGTAGGCATAAAATGTAATTTAATTAACAATTTAGTTTTAAATAAAAGTTTATTAGTTTCTAGAGTATTATATCAATACACAAAACAATGCCTCAGTGGTTTGCTCTTTAATTGTTTGAACATTTTTAAACTCTTCTTTAATGGATATGTGTGCTTTGGTTTATTTATTTTTAATCTAATTCATTTATGGTATGACTAATAGTACGAGTAGGTACTTAAAGAAACATTAACCTTTACATTTTTTTCAAACAAATTTTAAATTCCCGCTATAAATCTGTCAAAATTACATCTCATTTTTTGTGGCGCCCTGCTGGCAGAAAATGTCATGGATGCCCCTATGCCTCATTGCAATACTATTATCCGTTTTTAATTTGCCTGTGTTGCCATCGTAAAAATCTGAGTTGCAGTATGTCACAGTTTGGCTTGCCGTATTTTAAGGAAAAAAATACAAAATTGTCGTATTTTTAATAATTTATTTTAAAAATGTCTGTTCCTTATTTGTTTCTTCTCCGTAATGATTTCTTATCGTTTCTATCGCTTCAGATTCATATTTATGTAGTGAGTATTTATCTTAGCTTCTTATTTGTTTATAAACTACTTATAAGTACTTTAAGTATTTTATTTCCATTTTTTTCTTTAATTTTGTGTGCCTTTTAATTGAATGGTAGTTGTTAAATGTAATGACAAGTTTCCTTTTTCCAAAACAATCTAATAGAAATCACTTACATGACAAATACGAGCTTGCACACATTTTAATATATCACTATTAATAATAACAATGTTCATTTAGAAATCAAAATATTTGTGCAATTTTTACTCAAGCAATCCAACAAATGCGATAAAAATTTAGAGATGTATGTATGTATGAGATATCTATCTACCACATTACATTGGAAAATGAGTATACTTATCATACCTATGGCAGTTGTATGAAGCTTTGTCTCTATCGTAAGTGTTTCTAGTTAGTTTGTGGTCTCTGTTCCGTTTCTTTACTCGTGTAGTAGGTACCTACATATGTACAGTTTCATTCATTACACTAGGTGATAAAACGTTTTTTCCCTTTATGGCCAAATGCCATACTTTATGATACGGCAATGAGAGGCCTGCCGTATGCCTTTTATTATTATACTAAGGCAGCGCTTAACTACAACCTCACCTGATGTTAAGTGGTGATGTAGCCTAAGATGGTGAAGCGCAATGACTTAACAAAAGCCTATTCAGTCTTGCACCCATGACACATTGTAATCGGGATGGAAACACAGATGCTGGCAACTTATTCCACTCCTTTGCTTTACGCATCACAAACGATGTAGCAAACCGTTTGGTTCGAATGCTTGGTAAGTCAAAAACGAAAGGGTGGAGACTGGCCGAATGTCTGGTTGTCCGATGGTGGAAAGGAGAGGGAGGAATTAGATTATGCAATTCCTGCGCACACTCTCCGAAATGCATCCTGTAGAAAACCGAAAGACTGGCTACTTTGCGCGTGTGTTCGAGGCTGGTAAGATTTATTTTAACCAAATTTTGGTCACCAACAAGCTTCTTAGCACGTCTTTCCATTTAGTTCAAAGCTGAAGCTGCTTTGGCCTTGGACTCAATAAACCGCCCTAAGTTCAGATTTGAAGATATCTCAATCCCCAACAACTGAAGGCGGTCGGTGTATTCCAGTGATACATTTCGGAAAGAGGAAGCCAAGATGAGCCGGCTCCTTTTTGCAGTGAAGAGACACGCTTGTGTTTTTGAAGCGTTGAATTTCACAAGATTGACATCCCCCTTTCGGAGACTGCTAGTAGTGAGATTCACATGCTCTACCATAGGTTCTCTTTTGGACTGGATTTGATCCCAACTGGCCCGAGGACTTGGTTAGTATCTTTCCACAACTGTGCTATCGTCTGCATATTCATAGATAACGGGCATAAGCAGATCATGAATATGCTTCAAGAAGAGAGTTGCGGTGACAGACCCCTGAGGAACACCGGCGTTAATCGCCAAAGGATCGGACGAGCAGATCAGGGACCGTTCACTCAGAAAGTCCTTACCCATTCAGTCAGACCAGGAGATAAGCCGTACGCTGGAAGCCCAAAATACTAGCCTGCAAAACTCTGTCAAAGGCCTTCGAGACATCACGAGAAACAGCAAGTGCTTCCCCACTGTCCTCGAGTGCATCGCCCCATAAGTGTGTGGCATACCCTAGAAGAACCC